TAAGGTCAGATGAACTAGAAACCAAATTCTGATGTGTTCAGGGGGACTAATGGGAGGAGAGATGTATAATTTATAATGTAACTACAGGAGAGGAAATGTAACTCAGTGGAAGAGGCTCAAAACTTGGGAAAGTAAGTATTTTCAATTACAACTCCAAAAATCCCCCAGGAAGCATGGCCTGCACACCCCTCACAAAAAGGTATCCCCCTACAACTTTGGCTTTGGATGTAGAACTGGAAGAAAAAGCTAATACAAGGCTTTGGGGGGGGGAATGACCATGTTAGCTGGGGGAATTCTAGAAGTTAAATGCATTCCGTGAAAAATGCCCTAGGTTGCTGGCAGTCATCTGATGAATGGACCATGGGAAGAGATGGTGAGAAAATAATTTCAATTCTTCCTTTTCTAAAAATGTGAATTGCCCTAAAATTTGCAAATTTTGTGATATTCATAATTAAAAGAACTTAAAATTGAATGGAAAAGAAACCAAACCCAACAGATTCACCTATCCAGGCTCAGGGCTTTGAATACTTGACACTTCAAAATCTGGCTTTGAGACATGCTTGTGCCACCTCTTTTTTCTCATCTTTAAGTCTGGCTTTGAATCTCTGCCTATTCAGCCACGCCTGTGCTGAATTAAGCTTGCCATTTCATTTTTTCCCCCTAAGCAATTCATCTCTATGGCAGACAGGAACACCCTGGCCCTCTCTGCAGGTCAGGCAAGGGAGCATCTCATTTGAGTACATTTTTGAAGAGCTCATGAAAAAAAAAATTGCCTACTAATTTCTGCCTACTAAGGATGGAAACTTTACATGAAGTTTTGCTTTGTTTTTTGGGGGTTTTTTTAATCTCAATGTGAGAGAAAGCGAAACTGACAGATTTGCCCATTCCTAATCTTGATCTGCATAGTATAGTGCAATGATAGTGAAGCTTTTAGGCAGTGACTGTCCAAACTAAATGGCCTTCCGGCATGGGTGTTACCTGATACCAAAGGTGGGATGTCCTGGGGGAACGGGACTTCCAGGGTGAGACATCCGCCCTATGAGGGTGGGACTTCTTCCCCTCCTCGTACCTTCCCAGGCCTTCGGATGCCTCTCGGCACATGTTCCTTCTCCTCCCCCAGCCCCCTCCCTGGCCTTCTGGACAGGCAGCTGAAGGCCAGGGACAGCCAGGAGGAGGAGGAACAGGAGCATGCTTTTTCCTCCTCTTCCCCGCTCTGTGTGCCAGGGAAAATAGCTTCACGTGCCATCTCTGACATGTGTGCCGTAGGTTCATCAACACAATATAGTGATATGAGTGTAGGACTACAACCCTGGAGCCCAGGATTTGAATCCCTGCTTGGCCATGGAAAACCCTAGGGTGACCTTGGGCAAATCACACTCTCTCAGCCTCAGAGGAAGACAATGGCAGCCCCCCTCTGAACAAATTATGCCAAGAAAACCCCATTATAGGTTCAAACTTAGGGTCACCATAAATCAGAAATCACTTGAAGGCACACAAAAACAAAGCTGACCAACACCATGAAGAACCGCAGCTAGTTCTTCATGGCAACAACAAGATAGACAGACACTCTGATACAGACCTTGGTAAATTACAGTTTTGGATTATAAATCACCCAAACAGTGTGGCCATCCCCTCTTGCACTCTGAGGAATCCTGCAAACTGAAGCACAAAAAAACAACATTTCAATGTTTTGCTTTCTCTTCCAAAAAGCTGAGGGCTAATCTTCCTGACCTTTAGAAAACAACAGTGTAGAAAGCTGGGTTTGTTCTTTTAAAAATATTTTCAACCTTGAGAGATATTAGTTCTCATGCTGGAGCAGAAGAATACAGTCTACTCATCGGGGGAAAGTGGCTTTAAAAATTTAAATGTACTTCAAATTGCAGGGCACTACCATCGATTACAACGAAGCAAATAAGCAGATGTCATAATGCTAAGAGCACTGCAGCCCAGAATAATACTCAAAACCAGCAGTGAGAGCTAAATTGAGCATTGATGTGGGGAGAGCTCATTTCTCTTCATCAGTACTACTAGTACATTTGCTTCTGTCTAGAGTCATAATTTCTTGAAAGTCCTCTTTTATTTAAAAAATTAAATAAAAACTATTCTTCACAAATATGTTCTTTTCCTCTCCATACTTCAACTGCCCACATATGCTTTTCTGAACTCTGATTTCCGCCTACCCCCAAACATTGGCATGCTGTATTGGAATGTAATTTTATCATTTCAATGCATTTTACTTGAATAAAAATGTGCAATGTATAATCTCCGGTTATGAGGGATGTGTTTCTGGTGGAAAGGTCACTTTTCCATATATTGCAATGGGCTGATTCTCTTAAAACCCACACAGCACACAGAGAATTGCTTGGACATTTGCAAGTCAAAATGAACAAGCTAAATTTAAAACCTCAAATATTAAACAGTTCTCAACATTTTTCTTTCCCATTCCTTAGTGCAAGAGAATAAACAAATGGATAAAGGACTTTGGTTTTTATATGCACAAGAATACTAAGTAGCTTCATGGCAAATTCACTCAAGGGCAGGGGGGATTCTTTCAGCCCAATTGCATCCAAATTTACTCTGCCATTCCAAAGTATTTAACAGAGCTTGGAAATGTTCCGTTTTCTGACACTTATTCCCAGAATCTGTCAGACATACTGGTTCAAGAATTCTGATATCATTAATCCAAAACAGTGCCTTTTCCAAACTCAGGAATAATACTAACTCTACCTGGATTTTAGTACTGAAATGTCAGAAAGAGAGAGAGAGAGAGGTTACCTGATATACTACGGTGGGCTTTCCCAATTCACTGGGGTTAGGAGCATAGGACCCCCATGAAAGTGGGAAAAACTGCAAAAAAAAAACCACTACTAAATTTTTTAGCTGAGAGAACACCTCTCTTGGAATTTCTAGGTCCTCCAGCACAACTTTACAGTCAACATCTGCCATAAAGTCATGCTGGAGGACCTACAAATGCATTGAGAAGTGTTTTCTCTAGTCATTTCTATGTTCTCCAGCACAATTCTATAGTCAAATTCTGGCAGAGTTGTGCTGGAGAACTTAGAGATTCCTAGAGAGAACATATTAATCAGGGACTTTGATTAAATCCTCAAGTCTTTGATTTATTCAGGTTTTAAGCTAATCATGCCCTGCTCCACACACCCTTCTTTAAATGGATTCAAACAAAGTAAAGAGGCCTGGCCCTCCAACACCATGTTCAGTATCTCAAACATTGAACATAGATGTAGTTTGATAGACCATCTGAATAAACCAAATTATGCTGGGCTGGGGACCACACTGCACTCTACAACCAGGACACACAACCTAGCATGATATTGGGATGGGTCATGGGACATGGTGGACCTTGAATGGAGGTCAATATCCATAGTCCCTCCCAGTGATTTTATTGAAGTAGCTAAGGGGGTTACCCTAAAAGACTGAGGAGCTAGGTTCCTATGTTCAAGTGCTAGGGGACTATCTATTCCACACTTAAGAGTCTGAAGAGATACAGGTCTCTAAAAGATTTATTTCCATCTTGGTAGAAAGCTGGGATATAAATGGCACTGAATCTTGTGTCAATTGCATTGACTATATCCATATCTTTTGGCATTATGCAAAGGTGAAACAATTTAGTTCTAATATATATAACAAATTGTTGCTTTTATTGTGTGCCATCAAGTCATTTTCTGACTGTTGTTGTTCTTAACTGCCTTCAAGTCAACTTGGACTTCACAACCCTGTGAATGAAACACCTCCAAGGCACCCTATTCTCAACAGCTCTGCTCAGGTCTTTCAGGCTCAGGCCATGTCTTCCTTCATTGTCTACCCATCTGTATGTGGTCTTCCTCTCTTGTTACTACCTTATAGCTTTCCAAGTATTATCATCTTTTCTAGTGAGTTATGTCTTCTCATGATATGGCCAAAGTATGGCAATCTCAATTTAGTCATCTTGGTTTCTAGGGAGAGTTCAGGCTTGATTTGTTCTAGAACCAATTTGTTTGTCTTTTTAGCCATCCATGGTATCTGTAGAACTCTTCTCCATCACCACATCTCAAATGAATTGATTTTCCTTCTATCAGCTTTCTTCACTATCCATCTCTTCACTGTCTAGCTCTCACATATGGACATGGTAATGAGAAACATGATGGGTATGGACAAGCCTAACTTTAGTATTCAGTTGTATATCTTTGCTCTTCAAGATCTTTTCCAGTTCTTTCTTAGGTGCCTTTCCCAATCTTCTTCTTCTTCTGATTTCTTGACTGCAATCTCCATTTTGATCAATGATTGATTGAAGGTATGGGAAATTGTTATTTCAGTTCCTTTATCTTCTTCATTGAATCCTCCATAGTCATTATTGTTATTTTCTTAATGTTCAGCAGTAAGCCTGCCTTAGCACTTTCTTCTTTCATGTTTGTTAGTAACTGTTCCAAGTCTTTGTTATTTTCTGCTAGTCAAAAGATGCCATCTACATATCTTAACAGTTGATATAGCTTCCGATTTTCACACCTCCCTCCTCTGAGTCTAAACCTTCTCTGCTTATATTTTCTGTAAACAAGTTGAAGAAGTATGGTGACAGAATGCAGTCTTGTCTGACCCACTTTCTGATTAGGAACCATTCTTTTTCTCTGTATTCTCTTCTAACAGTAGCCTCTTGTTCTGGATACAGGTATAGGCATCAGTATAATAAAATGTAGTTTCATTCCCAGTTCTTTAGGAGCAATCCATAACTTTTTGTGATCTATACAGTCAAAAGCTTTGTTATAGTCTATAAATCACTTGCTGAATTTCTTCTCAAATTCTTTGGTGCACTCCATTATCCAACATATGTTTGCAATGTGCTCCTTAGTGCCTCCTCCTTTCCTAAAACCAGCTTGCATCACTGAAATTTTCCGACTTGTCATGACCCTAAGGCAAACCTATCACAGGATTTTCTTGACAATATTTTTTCAGAGTGTTCCTCTGAGTCTGAGAAAGTCTGCCTAACATCACTCAGTGGGTTTCTATGGCTGAGCATAGATTTGAATCCTGGTCTCCAGAGTCATAGTCCAACATGTAAACCACTACACCACACTGACTCTACAGTCAAAGATTAAAAACCTTCTTCCTATGAACAGACTACAGGACAGAGTGCTTTTGGAAAAATATTTTGTGCCTCCAATATATGGTTTTCCAGAATATGGGACAATCAGGTTGAAATTGACATAGAAATCTTATATAAAACCAAATAAGAAGTTCATGTTTGGAAACTGGGCAACCTTTTGCCCTTTTGAAATAATAATGCAGGAGAAAGCATCCATCCACACATATTATTTTCATTGATTTGCATCTCCCTACTTTAATATATCACTGTGTTTTGAACTATACATAGTGGTATTAAACCTTACATGTCTCTGTTTACTGTATGATGCAAATATATCAATAAAAAAATAAGAAAAGACTGTAGCTCAGCCCTACATGTAATTCTTTTAATTAGTAATCTCAGGTAGTGAATGATGATATGACAGAAACCAAACAGCAGGCTACTGAAGCAAAAACAGGAAGGTATCAGTGTCCCTGTGGGAATTCCAAGCTTTGCAGAACTAAAAAAAACAAAGCAATTTTTAGAAAATGGGCAACCCTCCCCTAAAAACAGCTCATTGAGAACTGAGCATGATCACTAATCTGCCATGTACAGAAATCCAGGTCTTCAGTAGTCAAAACAGAAAAGATTTATTCAGAAATTATAGATGTTCACCATAGGCATCTGTTGTCAGGACTGAGAATCCACCATTAATATAATATAGTTAAAGCATATCAGAATTCAAATTTCAAATTCTAATATGTTTTAACTATTTTGAGTGGGCTGGCACCCCATTTGCCCATAAGCTCAAACAGATTTCTTTCCTCTTCTTTCTCATGGTCGCTTTTTCTTTTACCCTGTACCATCTATTCTGATGGGATTGACTTTAGATCTCCAGGCATAGTATTTCCTTCCTGTTAGCAACCAAAGGAATGCAAGCAACAGCCCTATTAATTAACTTGTGACTATGTATCTCATTATCCATACCAATACCACACAATTTGTTGTAAGCAAGCAAGTAAAGTAATGGCAGCAAACCTGACTCTATTTGTCATGTCAGACAAGCTGAAAGATTCAGCTCCAGTTTGTCCCTGGATTCCCTTTTCCAAACATGCATCTGTGGAAGTAGAGTCAAATCTAGAAAAGCTCATGCTAATAGCTTCTTTCTTTTGGTTCATCTCAAAGTTGCTACAAGATCTCTTTGCATACTGATTTTCCAGACTAATACGGCTATATCTTTGAATTCCACAGTATGATAGAAAAGAAAAATGAAACAAAAGAGGAGGAATGGGAAGATTATTAGAATGGAGTGGGAAGATTATTAGAATAATTATTATTAGATTATTAGAATTAGAATGGCCTGCTTGGAATGGATGGATGGATAGACAGACAGACAGACAATAGGATCTCCTACAAGAGACAGTTTACACTGTGAAACTGTGAAACTCTGGGTTGTATGTTTTAAAAGCAAAGATATGACAGATACAAGAGGGAACATACACAGCTCTTCTAGGACCATGGAACAAATGCCACTGAAGAATGAAGACTCAGAACAGCCAGGCACTTAAAAAACTAATCATTCTTGAAGAAAGGACATTGAGCCAAATTCATAATTGCAGTGTCAACATTTACACTATTTATTTTCTTTTAAATGCCAAACTTAAACAGCTGCCATGTTTACTCAGAACTAAGTCCCACTAAATTCAATGGCATTTTTTCTTTTTCTTTTTTTGTTTTAAGCAATTCAGCATTAGGAGATATAGACCCTGGTTTTCTTCCCACCCCGTTGGCCTTTATAATAATTGAGACTCAGTGATATATATGGGGGGGGGGGATTCTGTTCAAAATAGGATACAGGTTTCTTAATTGTCAAAGTCACCCAAATACTAAAGATTTCTTTACTTCTGTCTAAGCTAAAAAGCCTAAAATGTGAATGTCTTCTCCGATGTCCATTCAAAGCAATTTGGTGGCAGACAACCTGAACAATTCACAAATTATGGCTTGATTAAAGCCTTTTCTAATATAGATGTGACTATAGGTTTAAAATCAAAATGGTCTGGATGTCTAAAATCAATCATAATGTGACTCTTTTTCTTGAATGACACACTCCTTTTATTGTACCATGCAAAGCACAAAGTATGAACTATAGTCTGTTGAATCACAGATACACCTAAATCCCAACCAAACTAGACATAAAAAGAAGAGTGCTGAAGCAAATAACCTCTTAAATGATATTTGGCATTTCCATAAGCTATCCTCTTCCTTGCTTATTCAGCACAGTCCAAGTACTGAGCCATCAAAAAAAAAAAGTTGGTTATTTCTCCAAAGCACTCCCCCCCCCC